TGCATTTCAGCAGTTAAAGAAAGTTAATTTGCACAGTATGGGCGAGTTTGTGTCAAATGATTAAGTATAAATGAAATGCTACCTCCGCACATTTTAAATGATATATTCTCATAATGTGAAATGTTTCATTTCAATCATATGCTATATCAACATTAAATTTTCCTATGTTTTGGTGTGACTGCAAAATCCTATTTGCCTTATTAACCTTTCATCACATTTAAGACCAGAATGGAGCACTTTATAAGAGCAAATGAACAAATGAGAAATCCACTTATGTTCCTGTTCTCAATCTAACTAATTTTAATGGCAATTTTAATTACTGAAACAGATGGTAATGTCATGGACAGAAAGGTCAGAAACTCTATAGCTTTATCTTCCACAAAAATATGTTCCTTTGGGTTAGAATACTGTACCATAAACCCAGGATGGGTTTTCCTGTATGCCATTGAAGATACATTATTTTCTCTTTTTTGTTCTGATCAGGCACTCCTTGCTGCTGTTCTTAATTTTCTTCTGTTTTGAAAGACAAAACCTTGACTACTGAGGCATGTTAAAAAATGTGCAGATATTGATAAAATGTTGAATGCTTAATCTGACATTCACAGTGAAATGTTTGTAGGTTACTGAGAAAAAGAAAAAATTGACAAACTTCAAGTTGATTGAGACACTATAAAGATCCTGAAATGGCATTTTTTAAGCATTTTCTTTGGAAAGAATAATGAAACTGGTGGAGAAAGAATATTTTTATTTCCCTGTTTGATGCATTACAGAATGCTGTAACCTTTGGAGGACCCATTAAGCAATATTTCATTACGCATTTTTACAAGTTATATCTTAAGGTGTTAATAACTAAGGGCTTGTCTACACAAGGAGTTATTCAGGAACAGCTATTGAATAACTCCATATGTAGACAAGCCCTAAGATTCTGATCCCGCAAGCTACTCCACCATATTTGCCCTCCCTATTCCTAGTAAACAGTTCAGTGCTGTGCATACACCTTTTGTACCCAATACATACATGTATTTTCATATGCAGAAAGGATCACTGTGTACATTAAGACACAAATACTATTATGGATTAGCAAATGCCCCTGCTCCATCTTCCTTTGACTATCTTACCCACAGAATCAATAAGGATTTATATCACTGAAAGAGGAATAATCTTTGCTTCCCCCCCCCAAAGTATCACATAAATAAAAGTAAGTACAAACATCACCACCAGTTTATACAGGCTCCTAACTACACACTTCTTAAAATGAATATGGTTCATCATAAAGCAATTGTACTAGAATGTTTCCAAGGAAACTGCACTGCATTTGCACGTTATAAATTTATTAGCTTTTAACAGTCCTTTAATGAGATTCAAACACTGAGAACTGTAATAACCATATGCTATGAATAATCTCTCTCTTGCACATATAGCTATAGATGATTTGACTTAAGCTTCAAAAGTGTAACTATGTATTATTTTATAGAAGCAAAGACTAAAGAAATGAAAAAGAAAAGATCTATTGTTATTCCGTCCATTCCTGTGCGAATGCAGAATTGTTCCCATTGTTCCATAGATTTTCTAGTGTTGTGTTCAGTCTAGTTTTAAAAGTACCAAACATTACTGCTTTCGCCATCTCTCTAGGGAGACTATTCTACACTTGAATATACAATTTGAGGCAAAATAGGCAAAGCTGCAGCAACTTTGTAAGACCAAGAATCCCATGGAAAGATCTTATAATGAATGAAGATGAAAACACTATACATATCTGCAGGACCTTTGCATCATAATTGTAACTAGGTGGGAAGAAGTCCCAGCCACCTATTTTATTTTAAGAGTAAATGGAACATATTATAATAGAACAAAAAGTGAAATACTGGACAAGACACTTTATCCAATCTTGAATATGATCATAAGAGTACAAGACAGAAAAGAAAATGAGAGTATGGTTACTGTCTCTCATGAATAATAAAGAAACTAATATATGTGAAAAGGAATCTGTATTGAAATATCAAATGTTATGGGGCAGGATGCATTAAATATTAATAATTCATGTTTAATCAACACATTGTTTTATGGCAAACTGACACTTTGAAAAGTAACTGGAGGCTTTGCAACAACGATACTTATATTTGTATTTATTAGACATTAGATATTATGCTACAGGTGGAAGCTCATAGCTAAGGCTATAATTTAGTCACGGGTTCTTTAGTAAAAGTCATGGACAGATCACAGACAGCCCGTGACCTGTCTGTGACCTGTACTAAATATCCCTGATTAAATTCTAGCTGGAAGGCAGGGGGGTGCGCTGCTCTGGGGGGACGGTGCTGCAGGAAAGGGGGCCAGGAGCCAGTGGCACTAGCTGCCAGGAGCCACCAAGCAGTGGCTACTCCAGCCACCCCCCAGGGCCGCCCATCTGCCATTGCTCCCGCTGCCCTGGGACCGCTGCTCAGGCAGTCCCTGGAGCCAGCCACACCGGCCACTGCTCAGGGGGTCCCCGGGGCCAGCTGCCTGAAGCTGTCCAAGCACCAGCCAGTGCAGCTATCCCTGGGGCCACTTCAGCAGCACCGGTGAGGCTGGCTGTGGAGCCGCCCAAGCGGCTGGCTGCGGAGTTGCTCCAGCAGCGGCCAGTGTGGCTGTCCCTGGGGCCAGCTGCTTGGGCGGCCCTGGGGTCAGCCACACTGGCCGCGGCAGAAGTCATGGAGCTTGCAGAAAGTCACGGAATCCGCAACTTCCACGATCTCCATGACAGACACGGAGCCCTATTAATTGTCAATCAAAACACAGAACTCGTCCCTGATTTTTCCTCTCTCAGACTGCTCAGGCAGATAAAAGTCTCTGATGGCACCATTCAGTTGTGACTATCCACATATCACCCAGTACATACATTCTTCCCTAATTCAAAACACTACATTTTAAAATCAATAGGAAAGAGAAGAAACTATGATGGTCCACTTTGGAACTATTGCATGGATAGGACTGTAAACTACAGATTGCTGTTTTTTAATCAGTGACAATAAACATAAAGCTTAGGTTTTAAAACAAACATTCCAACAGGAAGCTCAATATCCATTTCCGACCCACGCCACTCCTTACACATTCAACACTGATTAACTGCTGCATGTTCCAAGTTAAAATTAGATATTTTTAACAAATTGCTTATTCGGGTGGTTTCCTGACTGAAGAACTTCCACACATATCTAATTATGTCTCAGAGAACAAAGCAGATAATCATATCTGAAAACGGTGCCTGTTAGGAGCAGGTGTAGACAAGTTTCTTTGTCCTGGTGTGCCTCTGAGCCTAAAACCTGAACACCAATTTTTAAAATGCTTTACAACAGTTAATTTCCCTTTTTAACAATAAACTAACCATTTCTAGGAACTGGATTACTGCCTGTTAACATAGTGGGAAAGTAGTATTATCTCTTAATTACAGTCAGACTACTAAAAAAAGGTGTGCACAAAATCTCTCACAATTATTGTGATTTGCCTTGGGATCAGTCTATGAAGATTACCAATCCTTAGTTCTTCATTGTTCCATGTTACTTAAAATAGCTTTTAAACATGAAACTCCAGTTTTGGGAAAGAAAAAATATGGTCAGCTAATGACACAGAAATACATCATTCAGCTATTGTGAACTTCACGGTATCCTGTACTGTGGGCCGTAAAATGTGCTGCCTATTAGGAGATCAGCCACTAGTGTGACCAAAGGACTTCAGAACTTGTACTTAGAAACATCACAGTGGGAATATTCTCAGCCTCCAAAGAAAAGCTCATACCTGTACTGCAATGCTCTTGAGCACTCTTGGGTTGTAAGGTGGAATTCAAATGAGAACAAGCAGTGGTCCAGGTTCACAGGAACACCTCCTGACCCCACTTGATGATGTCTCACACATTGAGTCCATGTATGGAAGAGTTAAAAGAGCCCCATTGGTTGGGTAGGTAGTGAAAACATAAATATTGCCTGAATCCCACAACAGAGACATCAGAATATAAATTTCAAATGACAGAAAAACTCAACTATTGATCCGTTAGTAATTTACGGTGGTTAATTAAAAATAAATTTTATATATATATATATATATATATATATATATATATATATA